ATTTCCATACCTGTTGGAATCTGCCGTTGCTTCCACTTATGGGGAATGCCGTGGCAACACCTGGTGGTGATTGGTGTCTCATTGCCACACCTAGTGGCAACTTCTGTCGCCAGACATGTGGCGATTAGCGTCAAGAATAAGATCCCTTTGCTGCAAAAAATTGCTGAGTGTAATATTAAGGCTTTTATTTTGTAGAGTACCTTGTCTTTTATTGTGCAGGTCTAGCAATGGTCTGTCTTTTGCTTAAGGTCAGACTCATGAGTGATATGGTATCTGTTTACAATTGTTTAATCACTCTTTTTCCTCTTTATCTTGTTAGTAAATGCTTTATTACTCTGGAAATGGAAGAGTTTTTTTGATATGTGGACTAAGGTGTGTTGTGAAAAGGACTTAGTAGTCTAATTTCAAGAAACTGGATGAGTTTGGGTCATAATGTTGAGCTGTATGCTGCAATAAATTAGTGTGTATAATGGATAGGCTTTTATTATGTAGAGTCCCTTGTGTCTTACTTTGAAAGTCTAGCAGGGTTGTGCGTTAAGAGAAGTGTGAGACTGAGCAGTGATATACGCGTTTTATAAGTGTTCAATTACTCTTTTTCACTGTTATAATGTTAATAGACTCTATTACAATGGAAATTGATGGCTTTTATTTGAAATCTAACAGTCTTGTGTTAACTTCCATGGTGTAAATAAGGTAGATCCTCCAGTTACTTTAGTCTAGGATCAGCTGATAGTTCATATAGAACAGCTTTAACTGACTTCAAAGGGCTTGGCTCCCCTAATTAATGACATCATACCGATAAACACATTATATATTTAGACATTTTAAATATAAATTCATAAAGGAATGCACTGTTAGGGATTCTTAAAACTTCAGGAACATAATTTTTAGGTTAATTTGTGTAAAATATTCACCAAAGACCAGAATTAAAGTTCCATTTTATAACACATAACATGTAATTAGTGCTTTTAAACAAGTTTGAATGAACTAATTTGCACTGTTTATTTAGGATTTTTACCTTCTTTTCACATGGAATTACATAATTCTTGGCATCTTTGTTTCTACTTTACAGACACAGGACTCTTTGGTGCAGCATCTGGCTGGACATTATCAGTCTGTTATTTCAAGTCTTCACTCAAGGCTGGGCTCCAGAGTAGCTCCTCCTCTTCTGCACTTGGACGCAGTTCGTTTTCAAGAGGGCTCTTCCATCAATCCTTCTTCAACTATAACACCAGGCTACTCTCCTCTATCATCCTTGTCCCAAAAATCCCTGGAGCCCTGGTCCCTTCTGTCAGTTTTGCTGGGTGAACTAGGGAAATTACAAATGCAAGACAAAACTATGGATGATGGTGCATCGATAACTGAAGAACATTCAAGTAGAGATGTTTCTAGTGAGAGGAACACTGCATTAGAGGATTTTGGTGTCAATCAGGATGGAGAGCAATTTAAACCCTCAGCAGCTCCGCTCATGGATGTGTTGACTTCTGCTGTCCAGAAAGCTGTTGATATGGCTCACACAGAAACCCCTGACCGCAGCCGAGGGAGAAAGTCATCAGGTGTTCGCAGAGGACCCAGGAGTGTTCCTCAAAAGAGGCAGATCCCTGGAAAAAGTGGGAAAAGTACTTATCCTACATTTCTATCTTTGTTTTAAAAATGTTTCTTATCGTATTAATTAAACAGTAATGCATTTGTCTTCCTTGGTAGTTTGTCCCGGATTGAGAGAGTCTGCCCAACAAGTTAGCCAAATCCAGGAGTCATACAGCTGGATCTTAAACATACCAAGCGACAATCTGCAGATGAACTTCCAAGAGGTAAAATATTGCAAATTTTGTTGGTATTATAAGATATTTTCGTTAGCATCGCAGTTTAAATCTATTTGCCATTCCTCAGGTTTTAGTTGATCTGAACTCAAAGAATGATCGAGGACTTTACCAGGCGCGGATCCGAGCCGTGGTAGCTGGACGACCCTCAACCTTCTACAGTCTTGTGGGGCTTGAGAATGAGTCGTTCTATCGCAGTGTGCCAAGGATCATCGCTGTGGCTCTAGACTCTCTCAAGACTTAACCTTGAATTACCTTAAACTCAAAGCATTAAAAGATCAGTGCGAAAAGTGCGAAAAGATACTCATCAGGTGCACACTTACAAACTTCCTCAATCTCCTTTAAAGGGCATTATTTAGACTCATCAAGTCTAAATAATGCCTTTAAAGGCATTATTTAGACTTGATGAGTCTAATTTTCACTCCCAATGCAAACGTGAATGTAACTGTTGAACTGTCGACAATGATACACTTTTCCTCTTAGCTATATTTATTGCCCCCCTGATAAAGATGTGTAAAAGAACTTAAAAGTACAAAAGAATCGTGACTTATACCTATAGCTAGAACTCACACGTGATCTGGATCATTACAAAATTTTTAATAATTGTTGCTTGGTCTGAGAAAAAGTTTCATTAAAATCCATTTATAGCTTTTCAAGTAATCGTGCTAACACATACATACATACAAAAATGACAGAAAACACAACCTCCTTGGCGGAGGTAACTAAATCGATCTTACAGCCCAGTATATTAAATGGGAATACTTATTTAATACAATATTGTAATATATATTTTAAATTTAAATCAAATTACTTTCAATATTAGTACAATAATCTCTCACAGCACAAGCTTTCTATAAAAGAATCTCGGGATTGTGTCTATTTTGGAAAAGGCAGATTTTCAGTCTGTTCATCTGATCAGGTTTTAAAACAAGACCCTCATACCACTTTACAAACCATTTTAGTTTCCTTAGTATAGCACAACATATTTTATTTCTACTAAATGGTATTTAAAAAAGTTTATGCCATAACATTTTACAGGAACAACAGAAAAAATAGGCCCACATCACCACAGTTCCCCCACCGTACTTCTGGGTTTTAATATTTTTCCTAAATATTCATTCTTTGTTTCAAATCATACTCTTTAAAAGTGTTGGTAGATTTAGAGCTCATTCTTAAATTTGTATTAAAGTCCCATTACAGCTTTGTAAACTCGTAAATTAGATTTTGTGATGTAAATATATGATACATTCTGGAACCAGAACTGTCAGAAGAAACATTTTGCAGAAGTTCTTTTATCTTTCCCAGTGAGCAAAATAAACTGGGTAATTGTCCAGCACAATGGTTGGTGGCTAATAGAATGGGAATCATATTATAACTATAAAGGAATCAACCCTTATTTGTAAAGAGGATAGCTAATTTTTTTTCAATGGGAATACTTACTTTAAAGGATTGTTAGGAACATCATTATTAAATGCTAAACAGATTACAAAATACCAAATAGATGTGCTTAAATCAAGTCAGGATTTTTCTAAAGATGTCTCATTGTGGCGCTGCAAAAAAACATACATTTATATGAAGGTTGTTAATACATCTTTACCAGGGGTTGCAAGAAATGTTGCAAGCACTGAATGTGGTTGTAGATACAGCCTTTTTTAAATTATAAATTTGTATAAAAAGATAAATTATTCCTATTGTATTTTACAAAGGTGGAGCCTCTTGTGAAGCACGTGAATTGTATATATGATGCACATATCTTTATCCCTAAAATATTTATTTGTATAGAAAAAGTTGTATTTTTCCAATAAAAAGTAATTATACCTAAAATGCTGTAAATATTTTTATATTGCTGTGTTGAAGTTATATTAGACAATTTATATTGAGATATTTATTGGAAAGCTTTTATACCATTTATAGACTTTATAGTGCTGCAGATCAAGAAGGACCAAAGTTGGCCTTATGGAAAACAGGTGAACAACATTTTGAGATACTTGTCTAACCTTTTATAATCAGTATGACTATCAGCGCCGCAGCTGCTGCAGTGTGGATACACATACCTCTCTATTTTTTCACCATATTTCCCAAAGAGAGAATCAAAATTGCACAAAGAACTACAGTGAGTGCTCCCGTTGCATTGAATTGTTTTTGTGCTTGTGCACAATGCCTGACATTACAACTCTGTTACTTTGTTTTAGCAGAACACAGTAATATTTGATTTGGAGAGGAAATGAGACAAGTTTCTTCTTGGATGAGTACTGACAAGAATCAGTTGTAGTTATCCAGCTCCTACTTACTTACCTAGTAATGCCTTCATGTTGATGTGAGTAAGAAGTAGGTGTTACTTTCGGAAAAATTTTTGTACCCACATTATAAAGTAGCCTCGGTCATCACACAGGCTACGCTGCATCTGAGCAGTAATTACCACCTGTTCTCTTGACCACCATGGGCTATTTGTTCACAATATGTTTCAAAGACAAAATAATGTAACTTTATAAAAGTTATAATATAGAATAGAATAGAAAATTCCTTTTTTATCCTACAATGGGGAAATTCTGGTGTTTAATGCAGCAAAAAATGGCCACACAATTGTGGACGTTAAAAAATGTATAAGAATAACAAAATAGTGAAGAGCTAAAAGATAAACAAAAAAATACTGTACAGTAAAGTGTTTTAACAATATAAAACTGTGAACCTGGAGAATAAATAACCAATATACAGTTATTTGAAAATAGCAGCAACATCCGAGATGTGAAAAATGACAGCAGCATATTATTTAACTAAGTAATTAATATAAGCTTTGTTATAAACACAATAAACTATGATTTTAAGCATCTTTTAAAGCACAAAAATCCTAATTTGGATCACTTAAGTGCTAAATTTACCATCAGAGAGTTGATATTACTTTGTCTCTTTCAGCCGATGAATGACAATGACCAGGTGCACTGAGCATAAATGCAATACTGGAGGACAGACGTGTACAGAGTGCTTTACTCAAGCTGTTAGCATGTCGTGTCTCCTGTGGATGCGTGTACCAGCTGCTTATGACTGAAATAGACTTTGGATTTAAACCTAACCAGCAACAGCGTCCCTCTCCTTTTTTTCTATCAGCCCCTCCTTATTCACTTTCATCCCTGACTCAATCACCAGAACTACTCCAACCAGTAGAGTCCATGCTCATGTGCTTTGTTTCAGACTGTGCTGCATAAACACATTCATGGATTCTGGGCCTGGATGCTCTCAGCTACACCTTCTAAGAGTGCTCCTGATTTCTGCTGCAGGTACGGACCCAAAGTGAAGAGTGCCATGAATCACCCTGTCTTAGGAATTTGCATGATGTTGTTTATATTGGCTAAATGGTGAAGAAATGACTGTGAATTGATCAAGTTGGCTTTAGGTAGTTGTAGTTTATGTTCTAATTTTAGCATTTATCTAATAATGAAATCAGTTATATGAATTGTATGAATTATACTGTTTGTTGTGTTACTGGTGTTTTTTCCTTTTCAATTACAATTCAATTACGTTAAAGCGGTTACAAAATATCTTAACAACCAGACAGTGCTTATGCCACGTGCATACATCATGTGAGTCAGTAAGTGCTCCTCGTCAATAATGCATAATCTATCTGAGGAAATATAAATATTAACTAAAAAGTTAAAAAAGTGTTTATTATGTTAGGTCTGCTAAGTGTATTTAGATCTAGGGCGTTTCTCAATTCACGAGAACGCGAGTACGTACTCGCGTTCTCGTGAAGTCCGTTCTTGGCGAGAACGCAGGAAGATCGGACTTGACGAGAACGCGAGCACGCAAGCACGTATTTGTATTGGAACAGAAGTGTACTCGTGACGTCATCACATGCAACGTTCTTTAGCATTTCTTTAACAGTCAGAACTATTTATTCCCTACTCAAAACATTTTGAAAACAATATTTTTAATTTCTAAAGCTTAAAAAACATTTAAAAAAATTACCGAACCGCAAAAAATCGCCATCAGAACTTGCGGTAGTTCACACATAACTAGACCGAGAGAAGTGCACTACAGACGGGGTAAATTTAGCCCTGGCTGCGGTTACCCTCGGAGGTCTGCTGGTCACTCTGGTCCGCTCAACGTCTGACTTTTTTTTTAAATTTCGCACTAACTCTGTAAACAGACCACACAGGGAGGCTTCAATTTATAATGTTATCGCCTCGAAAGATTTCAAAACGTACTTTTGAAGAACAACAGCAGCAGAAAAGGGAATGTTTAACTTAACACTGTGAGCGCTGTCTTGAATCAAGCTGCGGCCGCGGGGCATTCTGGGGAAGCGGTCAGTATGAAGAACGCACAAGTCTGCTCTGATGAGTGCTCGATAAAGAGGGCGGGGCGAGAACAACATCCGGGGATTTGTTGCGTTCTCGATCTGGCGTTCTCGAGAATTGGAACGGTACTCGGGCTGAGGCTGATGACGTGTCACGAGTACACGAGAACGCTCAAGAACGCATATTGAGAAACGCCCCTAGTCTTAGTCTGCACAACAAACAACTGATATAAGACAGCAAGACATTTTGGTTGTTTTCCTGTAAACAGGACAGAGAAATGTTTTCTGTCTCTATAAAGGTTGCAAAAAAAACACCACATCATTTGATTTTGTTGTTGATCAAATGCACTAAGCTCCAGTATCACCAGAATTTCCATTAAAAGCTTTTCATCAAATAAAAGCTCATTTTTTTCCAAGCCCTCTCACTACCAACAACACCAGTCCCTAATGTTTCTATAATATTTACAGTACTTGAACTTCCATGTTTCCAAAAGTTATTCATCTTTCCATTATTTCTCCAATATCCCAACAAATTGCTCAAGAGGGTTGAAGTAATGAAAGCTGCTTTACTGTGCATCAATGAGAATGGCTGTAAGAAATTAAACTCTATATCCCCATTTACAATACCTTTTTGAATCGGTCCGAGCACAGTAACCTCCTTACAGTTAGCCTCAGTAATCATGAAATTTCAGACATTTATAAAAATACTAGCTTCCCTACCGTACCACACAATTTAAAGTAAGGATTCTGCTTAGCAGTGTGATGAACCTCAAAGTCTGTTGTTGTTTCCTACGTTTGCAAGCCCTGATTTGACTGTCGTTTTTTGTATCCACTTCCCAAAAGCTGACTCTGTCAAGTAAATTCACCAAAGGTTCCCTTCTTCGCCTGACTCTCCACAAACAATGAAATATCACAATTAACACCAAACTTCCTGAATGTTAAGGGCGACGTCATGTTGGTTTGATTGTTTCCCCAACTACCGTACTGTGCAGTAGTACTGTAGTACCGTAGATCGTCACTGGGGGGCGAGGAACCGTGGTAGCACGGTGTGTAAACGGTCGTAAAGAACCGAGCACGGTTAACTGATCCGAGCTCGGTCTGATTTCAGCACTGATCGGTTTCAGAGGGGAGCGTAAATGGGACTTATGTGTCAAACCTTATTTAAAATCAATACACTTGTATGTCACGTGACATTAGAGGCTTCTGAACAGTTTTTGTAGAAAACAGCTATGACTATTTTCTACAGTAATCTTCTCATGTTCACAATCAAAGATTGCAATACATGGTTGTCCCTTTTTGGTATCTTAGCATAACTAAAAGCAAACTTTGTAGGCCTGACAAGCACAATTGCCTCAGCATTTACATTTCGTCTCTCTACAACAGTCTGGTTGTAAAGTCCAAATAGTTGTTTGTATACCGGTAAATATTTTTCTGCTGAGGTGGTCAGAATTTCAGTTTTTCTAATTATTTTTTTGTTTTGTTTTATTGAAAGCACGTGCCGCCAACCTTGAGGGAGAACTTCTAACTGATTTGATGAAGGGCTACAACAAGAATGTCCAACCAAATGAAAGAAATGGGAATGTCACCCAAGTCTCCATCAAGATGACCCTCACCAACCTCATCTCTCTGGTGATCTACTCTCCGTCTGATGTTTTTCTTTATTGTCAGATGCTGGAAAAGACTTTAAGCTAACATGGTCACTTGTTCTAGAATGAAAAAGAGGAAGTCCTAACAACCAGCGTGTGGATAGAAATGGTAACTCTACATTTAATTAAACCTCATGACACATTTTTACCTCCGCTGTTAGTCGAAATGAAAACGTTGGACTTACAGGTATGGTGTGACTACCGACTGAGGTGGGACAAACCACCGAGATCAGCTTTGTATGGGAACATTACATCTCAACTACGGGTTCCTTCCAGAAACATCTGGCTGCCTGACATTATATTAGAAAATAAGTAAGTACATTTAAACTGTTATGACTCTGAGGGGAAGGAATGTTTGTTATTTTTTTATAAGCAACATCAAATCGACTAAATACAAAAGGCATATGGAACCTAAACCTAAAATAATCATGTAACTTTAAGGACCTGAAAGTTTAATTGTCTTTCTATGTGATTTGAAGTTTCAAACGTCATGGATACATTATCAGCATTATTGCTCAATGTAACAGATTCAGTTAGACCTTTCAAAACTGTAATGATAAACCGAATCTATGCAAAAATAATATCAAAACATATGTTTACAAACATAAAGGCCTGTTTTTCTCCCTCTTAGACTAAAAAAAACACGCAAATAAACATGTTTTCAATTAAATGAGGATTAGATATCACACCTATTTGCTAAATGCCTCAATCAGGGTTGCCGTCCACATTCACATTTTACCTCTCCCTAAAAACTTTCAACCAAAACTAACTGGAGAAATTACATTAATTGTTTATAAATGAAGACAGAATAATGTTGAACCCTAACCCTATGAACATTATTATTATTTATATTAGTCACACTTAACACTTCCACTTTAAATTGAATAACTATTGAAATAATCAAATCTTAAAGATATAGTGGAGGATTTTCTTTTTCCGGGGTGGATCATCTAAATAAGTGGTCCTCCTAATTGTCAATCATTCTGGTGATATGTTTATGTAAGGCCGTCCTACGTGCTCATCCCTATTTTCACTTACCGGTGGTGAGTCTGACATAGTGGAAAAATTGCAAATCTTCTTTTCGAAAGTAAGCTTGTATGAGAGAAGTAAGCAACAACTTTTAAACAGAGTGTTCACAAGTAGAAATCAGCTCGTGCACACTCTCGCACGTGTTTAACAGGCGTTCCCTCTCTGGATTGAGTACAGGGTTGTGCGTGTGCATTTTTTTTTTTTTTTTAAGAATTTTTTTAAAAAATTCGCAAAAATCCTCCACTATACCTTTAAACTATAAAAGAACATAAACTAGGGTAATTATCAGACAAAAACAAAGAAATCCAACAAACATAAAGAGATTAAGATTTAAACATTTTAAGACTATCTAAAATTTATAACAGATTATTTTCTTTACTGTTTAGCCAATTTATTACAAATGAATAAACTTTTTTTTCATTATTGAGTTAGTTAACTCACTGGCTATTGACTAAATATTTCAATGACTGTTTTTTGTCTTTGCACTTACAAATGTTGTTGAATTACATTTGAGTTGTGCTTTTTTTTAAACATCTACTCTATTTTATCTAGCTTTCCTTTCCATTTTTTCCAGTGTAGATGGACAGTTTGAGATAGCTTACTACTGTAACGCTCTGGTTTCCCCGGATGGCTGCGTGTATTGGCTGCCTCCTGCCATCTACCGTAGTGCCTGTGCAATCACAGTAAACTATTTTCCCTTTGACTGGCAAAACTGCTCTATGATATTCCGGTAGGTATACCCAGACAATCACAGAATCACAGTTCTAATACAATTGATTTTATGGATCTTTTTTTTTTTATCAGTTGGTGTCCTAAAAGTTTATAATATGTTTCAAGGGTATTCTGATATCAGTCTATGGTTCAATAAACAGATATATTGACATGGATATCTTCTGTTTTAACTTGCATTTGTCCTATTTCCATATTCGTTGTTGCAGTTTACTGTCCTTTTCTACTATTTCTATCTTGCATCATTGCCACTCCCTTCTTCAATAGATTTGATTCAGCATATTTTTATCTAGCCTTTTGTTTTTATTTCCCATATGGTAGACAAGGTTTTCTTTGCACATTATTTATTGGACTAGTTGCTGTTATTATTTCTCTAGCACAATTTATTTTACCAAGGCAATGTATTTTCCTTTTTATATCAAAAGTATTTTAGCTGCTAGTTTTGTTAATGTAAATATTAAAACTTTAAAATAAAAACTTTGTGTCAGGATAAGTAGGAACTAGTCAGATTTAAAGGTATTTTTTGAGAAAGAAGCAAATTAAAAAACTAAATATATAAATGTAATGCAATTTCAGGTTATATTCAATTCAATTCAGTTTATTTATATAGCGCCAATTCACAACACATGTCATTTCAAGGCACTTTACAGTTCAACCAGATCATACAGTCAAATTGATTTAAAGTTTTCTATCTAAGGAAAATATGTTATATGCATCAATGATTCCGAGGAACTGACAGGAAAAAGCCAAAGGTGTCATAGGATGCAAAACAAATATCACTATCCAGTAATAGAATAAATATGAAAAGCATCCTCCTGATATCATAATTACATAAGTAATAATCAAAAGAAAACAATCAAAGACCATTTCTGATCAAATTTCATCGCATAAATATGCATAAAAATAACTCAATTTACATTTATGAACCCTTAGTATCAATTTCTAATGTGAATAAGACTTGTATTAAATGCACAGTATTATGATTATACTTACCAAGAACACAGACTGTGTTTTTTTTTTCTGTTTGTAGATCCCAGACTTACAGTGCCAACGAGATTGAGCTGAAGCTCCAAAAGAAGGATAACTATACACTGGAGTGGGTGGAAATAGACAAAGAAGCTTTTACAGGTAAAAATACTCATTCCACAAGCAACTTTACAACTTTCTCTTTGAGTTAAAGGCTGATGTTTGACCACAAATCTAAAATCTTTGGTGCTTGTTGTCTTAGAGAATGGTGAGTGGGCGATAAGACACAGAGCGGCCAAGAAGGTGATCAACACACAGTATACCAAGGATGACCTGGAGAACCAGCAGATTGTTTTCTTCCTCGTCATCCAGAGAAAACCTGTTTTCTACATTATCAACATTATTGTTCCCTGTGTCCTCTTCTCCTCCCTTAGCCTGCTGGTTTACTTTTTACCTGCCAAAGGTTTTTATTCTTTTCAGCAATTGCTTCCTTTTGTATTTTAGATAGAGCAGGGAAATAATAGCAGCCAATAACAACAAAGTGCAGAAATACAGCAGCCAATCATATTAAAAACAAATTATAGCAGCCACCCAGAGCTGAAAGATTTCTGATCAATGTTCAACTAATATCTTTAAGTTTAAAGTTGACATGAATTTCCCTCAAATGTGTTCGAATATAATTTTAAACCAAATTACTTGGCTCAGATGTTGCGGATAGCCTTCTGAAACTATCCCACAATAGTTTGCTGGAATGTTTTTTTCAAATTAACCTTATAGAACTGTTTTGGAGACTAATTGAAGATCAGGTTATTGGGATGACTCACTGCTGTAGGTTATCTTTGTTGTCCATAAGCCACTTTGTCTCTGATTTAGAAGAAGGGTCAGTGCTTGAAAAGTTTATTTAACATTCTAACAAAATGTTCCTTCTTCATGAATACCCCTAGTTTGTAAAATGCATCTGTGCTTCCTGCAGCAAAACACCCACAAAACATATGGCTTTTATTTTTATAACAGCATTTGCAGTGGCTCCTCAAACACTTAAGATCCCAAACTCTAATTTGGCTTTTTATTTTGTGAGTGACATCTCTGTCCATGTTTGTAGAGGATTCATGCCATTGCGGATAATAATATTCTTTGACTAATGTACAAAAAAATGCTCTAAAAAATTGTCTGTTGTTTATCACATCTGGTGTTTAGCACATTGAAATAATTTTCGATAATTGATTGTCTGACAGTGAGAAACAGGTAATATGCATTACTGTACACAGTAGATATATTTCTGGCTTCATTTGTTGCTCTGAGTGAAACTAGACTTTAATATCTATAGCTGGTGGCCAGAAGTGCAACATGGCTATTTACTCGCTTCTGGGTCAGACTGTTTTCCTCTTTCTGATCGCCAAGAAAGTTCCAGAGACTTCAAAAGCAGTGCCTCTTATCGGAAAGTAAGTTCACATGCCTAAGTTGTGTGTTTGTTGCCCATGTACAGATTTCTGAAGCTTTATTTCTGAACTTTTTATTGCAGATACCTGATGTTTGTGATGTCAGTGACCACCATTGTTATAATAAACTGTGTGATCGTTCTCAACGTGTCTTTAAGAACTCCAAACACTCACAAAATGACAGACAAAGTTCGTGAGGTAGGACATTTCCAGATCACAGCTTAAGAATCTTAATGTTACATTGAATAAACAATAAGCTTGTATTGCTTTATAAAATAATCGTGATTCTGTGTTTTCTTTAGATCTTTCTGAATACGTTACCTCAGCTGCTCCAGATGAGGATGAAACCCTGGACGCCAAACATCAAACCAGAGAGAGCCCGCTGCCGGCGCTGCAGCTCCATTACCTTCATGGCCAAAGCAGAGGAATATCTAGTTAAAGTGGCTCGATCTGAACTGATGTTTGAAAAACTCAAAGAGAGGAACGGATTGATAAAGTCAGTTCTAGAAAAGCTTCGTAAGTATTTTGAAATTTTCTCAAAAAGTTCCTATTTACAGAGAAAAAATACTACTCTGATATGATGTTTGCATACACTTATGATGGTTATCAATGTTTTAATATTTTTGGTTTATTGGAACCACTATTTTTTCAGTTTAGAATAATTAGCCAATACATGTCTTACTTTTTTTATGAAATTGGTAGCACAGGTTTAAATTTATTGTATTTTCTCTAATCCATGGTCAATATTAACCATACAGATTTTGAATTACACATACCTTAATCATTTATTAAGTTGAGAATTTATGACAAAGCTACACTATTTGAATTTTTGGACTTGCCACTTTTTACCTGTCCTGACCTGAGAGATGACCGTGACTTGACTGCAGAAAATAGTTTTTTTTTTTTCTTGTTTTTTTTTTTTTGCGTTTATTGGCTGAATCTGGGAAGTTAAACCTTAAAGAATAGGCATTGTCTCATTTTAAATGAAGGATAAAGGATATGTCTGTGCTTGAGACTTATTTCAGGACTTGATAAACACATAAGAATTACTTGAGACATGCTGGTTCCACCAAGGAGGAGATGATTGGCTGACGAAGCTGCACAGCCTCCATACAACCTTGTCTGGGGAAAAGTACAATGTTTTATTTATTTAACTGTTGTTATTTTGTTCTTGTCTGATGTAACAAAGGATAAAGTGTACTGCCACACAGACAAGCTGGATATTTTAGAAAGGCACGGTGAGGTTTTAAACTAAACAACACTGTACCAGATTTTAAGAATGGTGGTATTAGTCTCAAACTAAGGGTATGTTCTGCTACCACATGTTCTAGTTTAGTGCATTATCTAAAAACAACAGTGGTGATTGAAACCTGGACACAACTTGGGACTCTACAGTAAAATGTCAAAACAATGTTCCCAAATAGAGAATTATCTAGTATCAAACTCATGGAATCGTGCTCCCTATGCTCTGACCGCAACATTTTGAAAATGTGTGCACAGAACATACATGCGATTTGTTCTTTATCCAGATGGTGGACTCAAAGGAGGAACAGCTGAAGATCTCAGTGTGAGTCTAGCACAGGCCTCACCAGAGCTCAGGCAGTGTGTGGCCTCCTGCAAACACATAGCGGAGACTGCGAAGCAGCAGAACAACTTCCAGAAAGTAAGTTCCTGAAAATTCCAAGTTTACTATCGCTGATGGTCTCAAAGAGTCAGACAAGAACAGTTATTGACTGTGTGTCAGATTTCATGTTTGTACTATTAGTTGGGTGATGCAAAAAAACATTCAACATGTTATTATCCTAGGAAAATGAAGAATGGTTCCTGGTTGCCCGTGTGATCGACAGGGTCTGCTTTATTGTCGTGGCGTTGGTGTTTTTCATCGGCACGATTGGTATCTTCCTGATGGGCCATTTCAACCAGCCTCCTTCCACCCCGTTTGATGGTGATCCAAGGGAGTATCTCCCCCCAGTAGAGAGTCACCTTCTGAGCTGAACCAGGAAAAGCTCTTTGATTTAACCTGATTACGGTCCATAAATCTATGATAATGTTTGTGCAGGTTCATTACAAATGTCTCTGGCAAAAAGAATATAAAGTAATGCTTTAAGGCAATTGTGGTTCTCTGGTGGAACCTAATAATGGCAAGAAACTATATTTGTATGGATGTATTATCTTGTAATCTGTAGATGGCTGTTGAACCCACACATTTCTTTCCAAACCTTTTTCTGCTTTCCCACGTCTTTCATAGGAATGGAGAGTCATCCGAATCGAGTGTTTGCTCTAAAATGTTTAATCTAGCGAGGCGGTATTCATTTCATTTGGACATGTTGGATATTTATAAATAAAGTCACATGGCAATTATCTGACATTGCAATTTTTGTTAAGGTTTATTGTATTTATCTAATATTTACCCTTTTTTCTCTAAGGCATATTAGCTGAAAAATACAATGAATAAAAAAACAAGGGTTGTTTATGTTTTGGTTGTTAAAGCCTGAAATTGTCACTTTGTAAATATGTTATTTTTTTTTTTTCATTTTCTAAATTTTACTTTTACCATAATTTGCAAGTAACTGTTTCTGCTTGTCTGTTTAAATAAATAATGTTTAAATATCAAACCAGGTGTTATGATTGAATAGTAGCATAGTATACCAAATACTTTTATGCTTTTACTTTAGTCATTATTGGGGGTTTACTATTGTTTATTTCTACTTGAGTATTTAGGTACGAATACTGTGAGTTGAAAAACTTCTCTTAAATAATTCCTTTAATCTTCTTTAGCTGTTTCCCTGTTTCATTTGTTCTGATCTTCCTCTCCCAGTTTTTAACCAGTAAAAAAAAAATGCTCCTTGTGAAATCTTCCATTAAGCACTTTGTTTCAGCTCTGCAGGTCTTGAGTCCCTTATTTCTCTGAAAGTTTTTTTTGCTGGTTTATTTTATTAAATATTTATATCTCCAATAATCTATTGGTCATAGAGACCTGTTTGCACTTTGTTTCAACTAAACTCCTCAAACGAAAAATATTCACAATAGAGAGAAAACGTGCTACAGCAGGCCTGGAAAGATAACTTCAAGTGTACATTTAATTAAGGTAACCAGATTTCTGAAATTTCAATCTGGGGACATTTCCAGCTCATAGATAAAAATAAATACATATCATCAAAATTAAAACAGGAAATGAAAACAGTGATGCTTTTATCCATTTTTACATATTTATTAATATTTAAACAACAAAAATCAAGTGTTAAATCCAGGAATGTGCCTCTTCTATTTCCTAACATTAATAAAATTAATAAATCAATAGTGTTTATTTGTGTCATCTGGTCAATCAGTCTTCTCTGTCTTCTTCCATCTTCTTTTCTTTCTTGCTGACTTCTGCCTGATCTCTGTTTTACTCGAAGTAGATTTTTTCTTTTTTCTCTTCAAATCATCTTTCTTTCAGTGTTCCTATTTTCCTCCGTTCTCATTCATTATGATGATCTTGATTATTATTATTATTGTTGTTATCTCACCTGATTAAATAATAAAAAGGCTAATCACCATAATATTTTGAGCTAAAAGCAAAAACAACCGAATAAATGAACATTTACCAGGTGGTTATCTTTTCCTCCATCATTCTCAGATCATGCAGATCTTGTCTCATTCAGTTTTCCCTTTACTGCCTCTTATTTTTTATAATGAGGAACTTTCATACATGCAAACTGAGTGGTAGAAAAGTAGACCTAAGCCTGGAAGTGTATAAAACAACAAAACAACATATAACCCTATTTACACTAACGAACCATCTGAAGATATAAACTAATGATCATCAATCAGCACTAAAAACATCTTTAGGTGAACCCTTGTTGATCCCTGGAGAACTACAGAACCAGATTAGCGCCTTACAAGGAGTTTTCAATCATTCTGTTTAATTTTATCTGAGTCTATTTCCTCTTTCCAGCTGCAGCCAATGGTCCGTCTTACTTTTTATTGATTAGCTTGATTTATGTTCCATATCCGGTCCTCATCTTTAATAAAGTGTCTCCCTTAGAGATAGGGTGAGGAGCTCAGTCATCCGGGGAGGACACAGAATAGAGCTGCTGCTCCTCCACATCCAGAGGAGCCAGTTAAGGTAGCTCGGGCATCTGGTTAGGATGCCTCCTGGATGTCTCCCTGGTGAGGTGTTCCAGGCACATCCAACCGGGAGGAGGCCCAGGGGGAGAACCAGGACACGCTGGAGGGACTATGTTTCTCGGCTGGCCTGGGAGCGCCTTGGGATTCCTCCGGAGGAGCTGGCCCAAGTGGCTGGAGAGAGGGACTACCCAGGCGACCAGACGCCGAATAAGTGGAAGAGGATGGATGGATAGATCTATAATAAAATGAAACCCATCAAAGTCTTTTTTTTTATCAACCTGGGCACAAACCAAACATTTATCACAATGATCAGCCCTTTTCAAATAAAATTAACTGATTAACACCCTCACCATAACACAGGGCAGCTGAGACCTGTTGTGATAGCAAACTTGCTCATCTTTTTTTTTTTAAGTGTTGCGCTCTGCTCCTCATCTATACATTAACAGCTGCCAACCAGATGTTAACATTCTACACACAACATTGCCCCCCTCATTCATAAAACACTAAAAGCAGGGACATTTCCAGGGACAGCTGGTCCAAAATTGGGGACTGTCCTCAGAAATCGGGAGGACATCTGGTCACCGTATATTCGACTCATACAGGAGGTCAAAAAAAGGCCAAAGCATTGCAACCTCCTTGACTCAGGCCAGGTGAGAATTACTGATTCAATACTAAGAGAGAAAAAAGTCCTCTATACTAAACCCTATAGGGTCTATAGGGTTTCTTTAAGGTGAAAATCACCACTGACCGCAGAGGGCTTAAATGCCCTCCTAATATTTGCTGAAAACAGGTTGATGGTCCCAAGAATGTTTAAAAAAACAGAGAGCTGGGATGTGGATGTAGGACATGAACAACTTCCTCATGTTTGAAGAATCCATAAAATGGAAAAATTATATCTGTAAGGGACACTTTTTCACAGCTTTTTATACAACAACATCTCCTGCAAGTCAATCAAGCTAACTTTAAGAAATACCATATCGAGGTTCCACATGTATGTTTTCTAATGTAACAAATATGTGTTTTTTATAAAACACATATTGGCTACGAGACTGATGTAAACTTCTGCCTTTATTTATTTTTTTTCTATTATGAATAACATAGCCGCTATCTGATATCCAACATAATCTTTAAAAGCCAAGAGAGCAGGAACGTCTCCCTCCCTCTGAAACACAATCTCCATCGTATGGCCCGCCCATCTCTGGACACAGGAGTTCAATTGCATGGCTGAGTGGTGCCTTTATAGTAGAACAAAGAGGAGATCCGGCTGGTTGAGATGGAAACGAAAGTCAAGTCAAGTTTTTTTTTGGGTGGTCGGTTGTCGTGAGACATAGAAAGAATAAGACGTTCCTGCATAACTAGTTACACACAGGTGGTGAAGAGATTGCTTCTGAACTCCTGATCATTTCGATTCACTTGGTTGGACCAGATGCATGGAGTTTAACCACTTTTGGTAAGAAAACATGAGATGTTTTTCTAATTGTTCCTTTCATATATGGGATCAGATGAGAAGTGTTAAGTTTCAATTTTTGATCCTTTAGAGATCATATTACATATGGGGTGTGTAGTTAAGCAGGACATTAGTGTTGTTTTCCTAGTGGCCAAATTGTAAGACAGCAGTGGCAGTGTGTGACTTGAATACATAAAGAGCCACAGGCTTGACTGTATGGCAGGAGTGGTGTTTATGTTGCTGCCAAAGGCAGAGACTTATTTCTGCTGTGAGAAACACTGGATCAGAGGGGGGAAATGTTTTCTGTTAAATTCCACAACATATATTCACAATCTGTTAAATTAAGGGTTTTCAAACCAATCACTGGTTGGTTAGAAATGATTTTAACAGTAGGGGATGTGCAGTTGCTGTCTGTTTACGTTGCCATGCTGGATGGCATAAAAACACATGCATGCACAGAGATTTAATACGAAATAAGTGGAGAATCTTCCAACCAAACATCATCTAAATGGGTTAAACATTTAGATAGAGAGTTAAAACAACGTTACATTGCAAACAGTTCTCTTGGTGGAGTTAAGAATCCCTCTGTTTACCTGCCAGGTTGTTTTCAAGTGAGCCATCCGTCAGAGATCATTATAGGTGAATCATCTCACTTAATTTGAGGTAAAAGCACTAAAGGCTAATAATGGTTAAGATACCTGCAGCTATTTTGTTTTATCCTAACAGGAGGGCGAGTAAAGTTTGTAATACATTGGAGGAAACCCTGCATGCCTGTTCAAAGATGAAAATCTGCACTTTTTCTTTCCACATCTGTCTAAATGAAAAAAAAAAAAAAAACTCTACAAAAGGGGCGCTCAACTGCAGTCTTTAAGAGCTACTATCATGCAACTATTTCATACCCCCTATTTAAACACACCTGAATCAAATAAGTGGTTAGTTAACAAGCCTCCGGTAAGCTAAATGAGGGGACTGAGCCCTTTCTTCCTTGCTGGTTTTGTTGGTGGTTCAAGATAATATGGAGACAAAATGCTGTATGTACTTGTAGTCGGTTTTGGTGTACACATAATTGGCTGATGTCAGCTGCACTTTCCCATAGTGAAGTATTGAAAAACCTAATGCTTTTATTGCCAAGTGTTGATATGAGTACGATATTTGTACTCATATCATCACTTGGCAACAAAGATTTCAAACATATGTAGTTTAAAACTGATGCTGCACATCTCCCTAAACGCTCTGTGTCCATAGTGAAACAAGGTGGTGGCTACATGGTACTGTGGGAGTAATTTGATTCTGCAGGATCAATTAAGCCGTTTAGAGTTTATGAGATTAATGGAGCTGAATGATAAGCTGCTGTGGGGCAAGCATGGTAGTGGAGAGAAGACATACACACATACCACAGCATTAAATATACGTTAAAAACTAATGGTTTATAATACATGTTTTGTATTGGAATCGCCAAGTCAAAATCAAAGACTAAATAAAATAATGAATTGGTCATAAACTAGAAAATTTATATTCACAAACCCTTTTCTAACTTTGTTCATCATTATTACACCATTTCTTAATCATAAAACTTGTCCTGTGAACATTTTTAAAGATATTTCCCACATATGCTAAGAAGACACAGAAAAGATATCAAATATTGACTGTATATGTAATTTTCAGGTGAGCATCATGTCAGCAGTGACTAGTCAGCCTCTTCCCTATGGTCCACTTGAGCGAGAGAAGCACATCCAGGGGATCTTCAGGGCATTCAAGAACCGATGTGGCCCTTCCTGTGAGTGCCAGAATCCCTCAGCTGGAGCCAAAGCCTGCCAAGTGCTTCCTGACAGAGAAGCTGAAGGACACAGTTCAGATCTCAGTCCTCAGCTGAGGAACATATGCACACAGCTTCCAGTACCGGAGACATTCGAGGTCATGAAGCAGAACCTTAAAGATGAAGCAGGATTGCAGTTTTTGTCAGCATTAGAGACAGTCAAGCAGATAGATGTGACCGTCAGACCTGAGCTGCTGGGTGAGTAAATACACTCATGGTAGAAAGAAAGGACATATTCAACCACTTCACTAAACCCCAGAATATTTAAACACAAATGAAGTTATATAAGAATTACACAACAGTGGCACAGTGGTATTATTAAATATAGAAAGGGATGTGTGAAAAAAGTAATCACCATCATTATACACTGTAAACCCTAAAATATTGTCTTCACACACAGAGTCACATACCTTTCAGAATCCAAATTAATTCATTAGGTGTCGGTTCACCCTTTGCAGCTAGATGTTCAACTCTTTCCTCAAGGTTTCAGAGTCTTTATAGACATTGTTTTTATTATTTGTGAAGCATATTTGTGAGGTCTGACACTGATGTTGGGTAGGAAGGCCTGTCTTTAATTTATCTGAAAACTGTTCTGCTGAGTTAAGATCAGGACTCTTGCAGAGCAATGTTGGAAAAGAAAGATGCCATCCCTAAACTGTCCAATTAGAGCTGTGGGTATTAAATACTCCAAATGCCCCCTGAATTATAATTATAAATTATTTTAATTTCTCTTCTTTGTCATTGTTCTCTTGGCTAAACCTAGACTCCTCCAGAAGAGTTCTCTGCTGCTCTAGAGTCCAGTGTTGTTGTGATTTACGCCCTTGCATCCGATGCACTGACCTTTAGGCAGCTACTTGGCAAAGAAACTGATTCCATTGAAATAATCCTCTGTTACGGAGCTAATTTATCAGCCATAAGCTTCAATTACCTTTACCGAGAGCTGTAAATATTCACCTGCTTAGTTCAGCTTTTGCTGCCCCCTCTGTCATCTTATATGGCTCATCACTTATTGCCTGGGTTTCTGTCATTCCTAGTGACTTTCCTTGTCCTATAATACCACTAACAGTTGACTGTGAAATATTCAGTAGTAAAAAAGTTTCACAACTGGATTTATTGCTAAGGTTTTATCCCTTTATGGGGCCTTGAATTAGCTGATCTTCTAGTAGGGACCCTGTCCTTCACAGATGTTTGTAGATGTTGGAGTTTTGACTAATATGGAAGAGATGTGAACACTAGAATGAGTCCCAACTCATCCTCTCCTCTCACTGTACCACATTTCCTGTCACTCTTTCAAAAATAAAAAAAACAGCAACAGTCTACTATTATGGTTGTATCATCCAAACAATGCTCTAAAAAGGACTGGTTTAACAATGGGCACCACAATATAACAGACCTATAAAGTCCTGCTGACATATGCTACACATCAAAGCTAAAAGATGTCCTAGTATGCTATGGCTTTTTCACAAACAGCCTTTCCAGATCAGTTTTCTTTTTGTTTATCAAGGAATGTTTGGATTCTCATTATGTGTTTAGGTAATGATGCTCAACAAACCGAGGTTAGGAGCAGGGCTTTGCTATTATCCCCTGACCTGCACAACGCTCAAACACAGAGAGACAGTTTACTTTTGCCTTATAACATGACTTCAGTGTTATTTGTGTGTTTCCTTGTGTTAAGCTGCACTCTTCCATTCCAGGCCCACAGTGTGTCTCCAGAAGGATTTACAGCATCTCCACAGGAAGTTGCAAGTCACAGATGTTTGTGGCTGTGGAGGGTACTTGTTTCAGCTATAAGGAAAATCAGCATATTAACCATAGAGGCAAAAGTCGTTGAGCAACCTTTCTTATTCGCTGTTCTCTCCTTTCTTTTAGAGAGCTCCTGTGTGTGTCTCCAGTGCTGCGGTCCAGCCAGGGCCTGTTCACTGCAGGGTTATGACTATCAGGGAAGGCAGGTCTTTTATTTTGAAAGGCCCCTCAGGGTAGATGCCTGCTGCTTTGGCTGCTGCCTGATGGAGATTCGGGCATATACACCTCAAAAGCATCTCATTGGCACTGTATGTCAGAGGTCAGTCAGCCAGAACACCGTTCGTTAGCTCTTGTCTTCATAGGATCATAAAATAGTCGTTTATTTCATGCCACATAATAAGATTTGCATGTTGGAAGAACAGATGATATGCAGGCCTTGTATGAAGTGTGAACATTTTCATGCACCGTGGGTGCTGCTACAAACAGCTAACCAGATGCTATTTTCCTAAATCCTTCGCCGATGTGAATGGGATACCCCATATAAAGATCTTAACCAGTCTCTATTCTATTGAATCCGTCTATAGGTTGCCCCCCTCCTGTTAGAAAGCACAAGTGCCAAAAAACTTCTTCAAACAAATCATAAACCTTTAGTATTGCCTTGCCAATCCTATAGTAAAATGTTCTAATTCAAATGAAATGGTCAACATTAAATTAAAAGTAAGGGTTAATAAATGGACGTCCAGCATCACAGTTTACCAGAAATTGTGATTTTAACTAGGTCTGTCGTTTCTAAAATAAAAAAAAATATTTCCACAGAATCTACTGTTTCTGCAAAAATAAATATTTAGTTACATAATTTGACTAAACCCGACAGTTTTTTTTTTTTGTCACCAAAGTCAAACACAGCATGCAAATGATCATTTACATTCATTAAGTAATAATTGGGAGCAGATGGTATTGCAATGACATCAGTGTCTCTATACAACAGTTATAATGGAGAAGGGCATTATATGTTTAAATATGTATAACTTATCCCCAGTCCTTGTTTTATTCAAATAATAAACCCCACACTAAAAAACTTCCAAGATTGTAGCCAAGTAGAAAGAGGATGAAAGCTCCAACATGTCTTCCCTTAATACAGTAACTATTAAAAATATAAAATATATAAACAAATTTGTAAGACTTACATCTGAATGTATTATCAGGTAGGATCTAAAATTAAAAAAACTAATACTAGAAAATAAACTTACAAATGTAAATGTGGTCATAGCACATCAGAACCTTTTTTGAAAATTAAATTAAGAACTGAGAAAGACTCCTGGATAGGTGTCGAAATGTTATCAGAAAAACTGAGCAAAAGTCTTCTAAAAAAAAACAAAACGATCTAAGCCTGCTTTGTGGTTTTTAAAATGATACCTTTTAGATATAAATAAAACCTCAACTGAACAGCTTTTTTCTGTCGCTGCATCATCTGACAAGATGGAGCTGCTTAAATTCCTGAGCCTTTCTGTAAATAGCAATTAGAGTCTCTAATGTTCCACACAACCCAGCTGCAGTCTAAACCTGGTAGAGTTTATGCACAAAGCAGCTGTCTGCACTGAAATACACCCACAGAGATGCTTAAAGCTCTTAGTAATGGGAAGAGTCAAAGCAAAATACTTTCTTCAAATGGCACAAATTTGACACCAGGGCTAGGCTGAATGCCTTTTCATAAAAGCATGATCTACTATAGTGTGTTTTAATTGGAACTGACCTGGGAAAGGTTGAAATGACTTGATATAAATAATCTCTCAGTCATGTGAAAATAAATTATGGTCCAATTTGAGCCATTCTGGCCTTGAACTGACCCTGGTTTTGGTGCTGAAAATCTGGTCTTCAGAGTGAGCTGCACCACCAAGATTGTCAGATTGCTTTTTTCTGCATTTGGCAAACTGTGTGTTCAGGTGGAGCATGTTCACTCCTCTCCTGGAGGTGTGCGACTTGGAAGGAGCCTCAAGAATTCAAATCCAGGGCCCCTGCTGCCCGTGCCGCTGTTTTTCCAACCAACAGTTTCAGGTAATCCTATTTATAGTACCGTACACAGAGTACCTAGCAATAGTATGCATAGCTGTTAAACATATCTCGTGTTGAATTATTCAAATATCTCTGATTTTCTCTTATATCACTTGTAGCCGCTTGCATGTTTTCTCCTCTGGTTATTTCAGACTCAGACTCAGACATACTTTAATAATCCAAGAGGGAAATTACTTTTGTTACACACTCCAGATATGCAAACATATATATATATATATATATATATATATATATATATATATATATATATATACAACGAAACCACACAAAATAATATAAATATATACATATATAACTTTATATGTATATATATGCATATGTAATTCCATTTCGAATTCCATTCATCATCCTCTCAGCTCTGATCAACTTTACTAATTCTGTTGAATAAAACAATCCTATCAGCATTATGGTGCCACCACCATGCTTCTATGTAAAGTCTGCGTTTTCAGCTCCATATGGTTTTTCAGCACACAAACTTTTTTCATGTAAACTAAAATGCACCATTTGCTGTCATACCAGACATATTTCTCCCTATTCCCTAACATAACGTGAAGAAAAAGCAAATATGACTTTTAAGAGTACGCCCCACTTTTTTGTAACATGCCCTCTGCTTCATATTTATGCACAACTTTGTAATATATTGCTTAAAACTCCTAATATAATACATAGATTTATTTTGTTGTGAATAGAGACATGATTAATATTGCAAATCACTGCAAATTTCCACACGTGCCCGTCTGTCTAACTGCCCCAACTCATAAACTGAAAAAACACAAACCTTCATGGAAAAAACCCTGCACCCTAAGTGCCCAAAGGAACCCTATCACAGATCCTTCCTCCCAGTCCCAATAATTGTTTACTACTATGCTGTTACGGTAATTCCAATATTTACCTGCTCAGTGAATGTTTTTGCACCTCAAAAACATTATTGCAGTTTTACCTGCTATCTGCACAGTATTTAACCTGCTTTGAGTTTTTTTTCCAAAATCCATTTTGTTTTTCATTTTGTTTATTAATGGGCAGATGTTTCTCTTTTTTGTCAACAGTTTTCATTTAATCTAAGTATGCACTTTTTAATACCTGCACAAGTTTTTTTTTGCAGAGATGTTTTTTTACACTATTTTAACTCTTTGTTTTCATACTTTATAATTAGTAGTTAGTGCACCTGTACTGTATGCTTTCATTGTCTTTGCTTTTCTTCAAACAAGCCAAAATTTCTCCACTGTGCTGCGCCACAATATTTATCTTATCTTATATATTTTATCTTATTTTATTTAAGGCAACTAAATTTTGTTTCATTTAACTTTGACTGTATTCAAATATAAATCTAACCGATTAACAGATTGTTTCCAAGATTGGAGAGCAAATAGGTACGATCTGGAAGAAATGGCCCAGCTTCAGCAATGAACGTAACATGGATAATGAATATTTTGGGTTGGAGGGTGAGTTGTGCTTTAAGAAATTGTATTTTTTCTTACCCCATTAAGCTCTTCGTTCTTTTGAATTCTAGTGAAACAAGTTTAAACTCTTCTCCCTCTGGCAGTAACTGAGATGTCAACAGAAAAATTATCATAAACCCTTAAATTAAGCTGTCATGTGCCTCTTGGAAACATCTGCCTGATTTTGCATTTTTAACCATTGCAAAAAACAAACAAAAAAATAAATAACTTGTGGCAGCATGAACAGTATTTTGATTTGTCAGACAGACCAGCAATAACACTTAGAGGTGTCTGAAAATGTCAAGACCAGCCGCTGATTCTGCTTTAACTTCCTATTGTAAAAAAAAGTTGCATCCTGGGAATGGTGTATCCAGGGTTGTCTGCAGTGCTGCTTTTTCCATCATATTTTTCATTTGGTCCAAAAGGGAAAGATTTTTGGTCAAAATTGACCAGGGCAGGTTTGTCCACACGTTTGCTTTGTCCCCTAAAATAGTTTTTATATAAGTTTATAGTAATGAAAAGGTTGGGATTAGGCACTAGAGAAAAAAAGGAAATAATTAATGTAAGGGGTATTAATTAATGTAAATTAAGGGGTATAAATGCTATACTTCCTAATGCAGAAGATATACAATATTCTGACATGTTTGAGTTATCCAGCAAAATACTACAGAATAATCACTAAACAGACTCAACACTGATTGAAAAAAACAGCAAAGAAACCTTCAGCTGTACTAACATGTGATAAAGCATTTTAATAAAACTGTTTAAGGTCTTTCCTGCCATCTCTGAACTGTTCTAATGTGGATTTGGTTTTTTTCTGCAGTGACACAGAGTTTGGAGCCAAATACTAAACTCCTGCTTCTAGCAGCTACTTTTTTACTGGCAAGTATGGATCTTCTCTTGGTGTAGCTGATTGAAGTGTCTTCAGTGTGTTTCCTCCATAGTTTTACAGATTATACTCATATATATTCTGCTATGCTTTGTCATATCTGTGGTTAATCCACAGCGTCTTATCAGCCACCAACAGATAATACACCTATATTATAGAAAATCATGTTGATTCAGAGCAGATTCTAATGGTCTCTCTTTAATCATGCTCCAACTTTGATGGTACTCAAGCTGGCATTTAATGTAATCTAGGCACCAGTTCACAATTTTCATTTTAAAAAGCCTTGGCTTTGAAAATCTCGGATTTCCTTTTACCCTGAACGTCCTACAGAGAAAATTCCCTTTTCGTGAAATGCAGAGAAAAGTAAATCTGCCATTTCACAAAGCATATATTAAGAGCTGCCCCTCACCCACCTGTTGCTGCACATTGCTGTTAAACTGGCTGAAAGGCTTTTGCACTTCTATACGATTATTTTAGTTTGTGAAAAACACCATAATTGTGTGGAGGCTAAGATGCTCATTGGCCTCTCATGTTTCTAGAACCAAAGGTGGCCAATTATATGCGATTCCTGAGGCCTGTTTCACAAAATCAAGTTAAGAGATCAAGCTGGGATTTTCCAGATATCCTGGTTTATTAAACGTCGACTCAGTTTCACAAAAAGCAGTGAAGCATAATTTACCATGGTGATTTATTCTGTGCAGTCACCCTGCTCCAGACTAGGCTAACGGTCAGTCTTAGTTAATCCTGGTGCCTTGTCTGTTTAGTCAGCTTTACACTGATATCAGTGGGTGTTGTTTTATTTTTTCCTCAAGCCCACATTAAAAACCACTAAAACATATTAGGCAAAGTACTTTATTATAATGGCAGCATATACCATTAATAACTTTATAATTTCCACTTTTTCAATTGTTTTTGAAGACTGTTGCTGTTCTGAGTTTGACAGAAATGGCTTTAATAGGCTGTAGTTAGGTTGAAGGTGTAAAAAAAAATGCCTGATAAAGTAGCTAAAGTAGTGTCCATAAAGTCAGGCCTTAGAAGGAGCTCCAAACGTGAGTTCCTCCTGGTGTACAGATTTGGTTTTCCAACAATCACCTACTAGAGTGTTACCACTTCTGGGGATGGCATCAGTTACCTCTGCAGACTACTGGGTCTCTATACAGATCCATGTTGCTGTTACACAGATCATCTGTTTCACTAGTATGTTCCTGTAGGAGGGCCACCATTTGCTGCACCATCAGAAGTGTGTATTTTGTTTAAAAATGATAAGCTTGTCTCCATAACTTTCCTCAACCACATAAACTACATCAAGCAGAAATATTATAATACAGGTGACATAAATGAAGCTAAAAATCACAAAATAAGCAGAACAGTTCTTTTTTGATACAGCCTTCCTAATGCTATTGGTGCGGCGGATCAAACACATGAAGATACAACACTAGCAAATGAAGGGGATTTTGTTAACGGAAAAACCCAACGTTCTGCTAAGAGGGAGTTTTGGTTTGGCTCATTGTCCATCATAAACATGTGTATTAAAGCAACTGATCACATTTTTTTTTTCTTTTTGCCTAAAATGGTCTGTGAGGCAGACGACATCTTTAGGGAAGTGAAGTCAAAAGTGGCTTGGCCCAGTCCATCACTCCAGAACCCGTCCCTCCCGTTGGTTTAGTTAAGGTCCAGCTCTTCTGCTGGCATGAATTCAGAGGGATGCTGCGGCACCCTCTACCTCAGAAACATGAGCTTATTGTAACACCTAAATTAAATAAGATGATCAAATATGAGTGCTGGAACTTAGCACAATATAGTCAACATTTTAGATACCAGAAACGTTGAGCTGCTGCAGGCCTCTTTGGTCAAGTCATATTAGATCTGTGGGAAGATTTACAGCATGTGGAACCAAAAATGTCAATTACCTGCTACTTGATAGTTTTTATACCAGATGTAATTCTAAATGTACCCCCACATTCATGTCAAAGATTTAAACCATTAACCCACAGAGGGACTGAATGCCAGAACAGTTGTATGAATCCATCACGTTTGGGTTCAGCTTGTTAGAACTTGTTTCCATGGTTATTGTGTAAGTTGATAACATTTTAAATTATATTTTAAGCTAAGTGGTAAATGTTTATTTCAGGCTATTTAATTGATCTATCATTTGCCGATACCCATGAATCCGATCAACCTTGTGTACTTGAGGAAATCTGCAGACGGTCAGACATAGCTGCACATGTTGAGCATGGCTTAGCTGTCGTGTAACTGATGAGCTGCTTCCACCTTGGTTTTATCGCCTTTCCTGGATTTCTAAAATCAGCTTTTGTGGAACAGGCCTTAACCATTACGAGTTTGAGTAACTCTAAAAACAATACAGAATTAAACCACTGTGCACAATTAACATTAAAGCTGCTCCTGAATCTGCAGATTCATACATACATTTTTGCAACAGCAACATTTCAGATAGAGGTATTTAGATCATATACATTTCCTTTTAGATTGTGCAAATACCATGTTTGCACTATAGACTAATTCATATATATATATAATACAAAGCCTCTCTTTAAGACATGTACTCATTGACTATCTATAATCTATCTTTGCAGAATCACATGTTCTTTGAGATGAGCTGAAAACTAAAAGACATACAGACTCTGCAGGAGATGCACCGAGCTCTGGACAGTGACGGAAAAGGTTAAGAAAATTAAATTTTACAGCAGTGGTTTGGTTTATTTACCTCTATGGTTACACTTCTCTTCCAGATAGCAGTAATGAAACAATCGAGACAGCTTTAGCAGCAGATGCATATTTTACTTTTATTGCTAGAATCCATCAGGTGCACATCCCAATCAGTGTTTTTATTTTCAATCATTTGCACCAACAGTTTGGGCAGAAACAGCCTTCAACACCATATTCAGAAGTTTTAAAAGAAATACTGTCCAGCATGAAATGGAAAAACAAACCCGATCCTCTGCAAAGTTCATATATTTTGTTGATAAACTGTAAAAGGTGATAAGTGTTGGTTTCAGCATGCCTTTAAAATGGGCCTTTGGGGAAAAGTCTATTCCAAGAACCATTTGAAGACATCGTTAACCTTGAACCGATCAAGATGTCCACAGGTCTCCACCACTGTTATTTGGCAGCTAGTTGTGAACTTGCAAGACAGCCCTCGTACAACTTTCTGTTCACCACAGGATATGATGGATGATGCAGTATAGACATAATGAACATGAAAATAAAGGTCATTGTGTTCAGAAAGAATGAGGAATGGTGTTAAAAAACATCACTGTAATAAATCATCATCCACTGGTTTTGAGTCCTGCTAAAGCTCCTTAGCACAGACTTGTGTAAACAGTCTGGATGAAATCTGTCAATAAATGGTGTCCATTTTTATATGAAACACATTTTGTCAAGTAAACTTTGTCGGGTAAAAACAGCTAGATAAGAGGACAGCAGTCAAACAAGCTCCCCCTGTTGTCAAGTTTAACATGTTAAAACTTGCAAGCAATAATGAAGGTCTTGTTTCATCACTGGTTGACCGACTTTTTCTCTCTTTGGTTTCCCTTACCGATCGCTGACATCTCTTTCCATTCAAACATCAAATTGGACAAAAATAGGGAATGATCTCCAGGTCCTCTGTTCCTGTGGATACGTCCTCGGTCCTCGTGTTGCACAGTGCCGATCCACGCAGAGGTATCCAGCCCTGGACTAGTCCACCCCTCAACACGCCACATATACACTCCAACCTGAGCAGCAAAGACAGCAGGAGGGTTGAAACATGTAGGGGGGAAATCTATTAAGCTCTGATCAAGTACGGCAGCAGCAGCCCTTACTCTTCGCAGAGTTATCTCCGTGTGAGGGGCTAACGTCCGCCGCTAGCATTCACCAGTCCATGGAAGTCTTCCCATGCTCTGAAAGAGGAGCATCCAGTGCATCATCATCAAATAAAAAGGTTTAAGAGTGTTATTAAACTCTTAATATGACAAAAATCCCCAAAACCCAGAAAAAATTTAATATTTGTGCAACATTTTGGAAGATTTAAACTTCATGTTAGGGCTAGCAGGCAAATGGACCACATAGGAAACACATTATAAGCATTGCTATCTTAGCAAAGAGGGGCTAATGTACACAAACATTCTCTAAGAGCTCACAATTCAAAACTAAAGAAAAACAGACTTTTGCAAGAGGAAAAAAATGGACATAAGAGGGGAAACAATCAACACACATAAGGTGTACTGTGGAAAAACTAACATCCCCTTTATAACTCAATGTAAAGCTGAGAAAAAAAAAAAAGAATGGAAGACATGATCTTGCAGCATTAGAACAGGTCTGATATTTCTCATCTCCAAAGAGATGAGCTAAAGAGGCAAAATCATAAGAATCTACTTATTGTGAAGAACAGATCAAAACATTCTGCATAATACAAACAAAGATAGTGTTCAGGCAAGAGGAGCAGAAAAATACATTCCAGAGTTGAGTGGCTTCACTGTAGCGGACTTAATTAGCAACATGGACAGCATGTAGCATCTGTCAAAGACCGTTTTCTCCTAAATACTGCTGACATCTTCTTTGCTTCTTCAACTACCCGTGATGTCAATGGAGCTATTCTTATGTGAACTAATCTCATTGCCAACCATTTAAATTATATAAAATAATTTTTGATTCAAATACAATTCATATATTGTATTATTAGTTTAAAAAGGTAATTTGAAACTGGGTAACTTAAAAATATCACTCAGCTTGCAAAGTTTAATGTTTAAAGTTTAAGTCATTTTCAAATGTATATGCTAGCAGCTTTTATGGTTGTATAAAATGTTTTCTGAACGATAGCTGTATTCTGCTGATGAATATTTGTCATTTTGTTTTTGTGCTCAATTTTTTAGGAAAATAAAGCCCTTTGTGTTCATGGTATTGTGTTCAGGTACAGCACCCGAACAATGCTCAGAATACAGTATGAATGTTGGTGCTTACTGAAGCAGAAAGCAGAATTGATGTATAAATCTGCAAACATTTTATCATACTAAGTACAGACAACATGATAAACCGATTGATCTGTACTTAACTTGATATGGTGTCTCTGTTTAGGTTTCATAGACACTTGAATTTTCCCTAGAGCTTGGTGGCTGTAGATCAGTTTGATATCCGTGGGTCTTTGACCATAACATGCTGTTACTTTAATGGAAGGCATTGCAGGACGGTTAGGCTCCATTAATTAGCTGCACAAATTGTTGCACCTGCTTTCCGATAGGTTTTTGGGTTCTGCCTGCAGATGGCGCCACGTCTGTTTATGTCTGCTTATCACACTGTGTGCTGTAATTCCATTTATGCTCAAAGAATAGAAAAACACACCTGCTGTATATAACCTTATTTGATCATGATCACATTTCTTTGGAGTCTTTTCCATATCAGCATATAACATGACTAAGCACCTTTGAAAATTTTTTCCTAACCTGAATAAAATCATTCAGGTCTTGTTAAAACCACTAACATCAACATATTCTGCTGAGTTGTTTTGGTCTTCATGCTGCTTTTGGAACATGCAAGTCATGTGATGTCCAAGCGTTGACAGAACAGCTGTACGCTCAAACTTCTTTTATTAAAGATTAGTTCAATTGCGTCTTAATACCTGCTTTTATGTTTTATCTTTAGCCCTTTGAATCGACTCTGTACTGCATTGTGCTATACCAAAAAAACCTCCCATGCTTAAAGATTAATTCATTTAAGATTATATGTGATTATTTAAGGTAATTGGTTGATCTAGAGATAGTTTGATAATTCAGACAAAATTGTAATAATTGTAAACTAAGATCTGTGGTAAGGAATATCATGCAAATCACTGGATTTCATACAAAAAGAAAATGCAGAACAAGCTGTGGGAATTCAAAGGCTTACAAGCAGACAAATTGTGAAATTGATTAGAAAACAGTTTGAAGGAAAAATAATAAAAAAGGAGGAGACATACATACTTAATGCTGTCTGTATGTGTCTTGTACTCCATGATGGTGTTGGGAGGCAGGTTAAGGACTCGGCGCAATGTGTCTCTGATGCGAGCTGTCGTCGATTGGTCGCTTGCCGTTTTATTCCAGATAGAAATGATGTCCTCCTGAATAAAAGAAACACAAAAGTCTAAGTGGTGAATTTAAGTGATCACACGTAATGGAAGTGTTTAGTGATTTACCTGGAAGCGGACGGACACAACAGCCCCACAGATCTCCTCTCCCACCATGAACTGCTCACCCAGCATGGCCAAGATAAGGTTCTCCCAACATCGAGACGCGAGGCCTTTCCTTAAGCGAATAATCCACTTTCCACCCATCTTATTGGCATCATCCTGGGGGAAAAAAAGGAACCAAAGCAAAGTGGGAAAAAAATGAGGCTCCAAAATATAACTAGTATATCAATACGATGACCTCAGAAATGGACAATCACCTCCCACATGGGTTTAATGCCTTCCTTAAACAAGTGAAAGTCGCTATGACCTGTGAGGTCACCAGGTCGGATCATGTGGCTGTAGAAACGCCAAAACTGCTCCACCTTAAAAACATAAAGACATTTTACATAAATTAAATGAGGCCACAAATCTAGTATGACCGCTAATCAATTATAGCTAACGGTAGCACTTAGAGAAATTGTAATGATCTCCATACTGAAGCGAAGCTGCCGATCTGTTTGATGTTCTGCTCGTAGCTCTGAGTGCTGGCTGGTCTCCCTGGAGTACGCCTCGAGTACCAGAATGTGTAGTTGTATTGAAGGGGATGCTCTCCTGGCCCTGGAACTACCATCTAACACAGGAGAAAACCAGGTTATTTATGAGCACAATACATCGACATAAGGCAAACAGCTCATTCAGTGGAAGGAAACGAGCTGCTTTTCTTACGTTGCCGAAAAAATAAACAGCTAAATCCTAAATCAGTCAGTAAAAACATTGGTCGACAGCAGTTTTTAGCTAAAAGTGGCATGCAAGCGGCAGATGGTCGCACACACTGAACCTGGTTCTGCTGGACGTTTCTTCCTGTTAAAAAGGGAGTTTTTCCCCTCCACTGTCGCTATAAGCATGCTTAGTGTGAGGGACTGCATCAGAGTCAATGTAATCAAATGGTTTTCCTGAAATAGAAAACTTTGAATCAATGTGACTGTATGATCTGGTGAACTGTAAAGTGCCTTGAGATGACGTGTTGTGAATTGGCACTATATAAATAAACTGGATTGAATTGAATGCAAGTGTTAACAGTCTTGTATTTCCATTAATTTTCTTTCACAATAAAACAAAATTAAATTAAATGATTAGTGCTTTTTTTTTTTTTTTAAGTTCTTATTTTTGAAAAAAAAAAAAAAACATTTGACCTTAAAAACTGGGCTTTCTGGGCATCAGCCAGAAAAGCCTGAAATTTGCCTGACTGCTGGTGTGACCGAAAAGCCTTACTTTCTTCTTTACAATGTTCTGGTCTTTATCGTCTTCTTCAGGTTTTTCTTTTTCACTGTCCTTAGGTGAGGCTTGATCCTCTCCACTGTCATCGTCTTTTAGCCTGGATTGAATGAAAAACAAAAAAACAGCTTGAATCAAGTTTAAGATCATAATGTAGGGTGTAATTATTAACAGAGCGGTTCATTTATTAAGCTTCAGTTACAAATAAGTCCATGTTTACTTGACTTTTATAAAACAGAGGTTCAGCTGAAATGGAGAAACCAAACCTAAACGTTACGTATGACCTCGTGGCGTCAAGATCCGTTGCTGATTACTATAGTTTGCAGACTTTGATGAGCTAATTTTTCCGCACAAATCTTAATACAAAAGTTGTAATGAACCAACAAACATCACATATCCACCATAACTTATTCCGTAACATTAAATTGAATCCATTTTGTAGACGCAGCGCTATAGACCACCTAACTCTCAAAGAGGGAGCTGAAAGTTTACTTTCCTCCGCGTTTCCACTAACAGTCCTCTGCTCTTCCACTACTACTACGCCGAGGCTGAAGGCCTAACTTGGTTCCCGACGTGCTAAGCTACAGCTAACCCGCTAGCGTAATCGCTCCTATAAAACTGCTTGTAATTGACACCATTGTTTTATTTTGCAATGCGTGCTTCCATATAAGGGTTCCCATTCCCATGCGAGTTTAAAAATAAATATAGACAATATAGAACCACGCCATAAAACTGACACACCTCTCATTTAACTCAGCGTAGCCGTCGGTCACCATCTAATTAATCGGTTAATGATTAAAGGCGTTCAGTAGATTGCTCAGATGCGCATGCATTACCAAAATATTAACTCACGCATCAAATTTGTTGTTCATTATTTTCTAAGAAGGAGTCTTGCTTTCGGAGTCCGAGAACAGCCTCCTGATTTCCGCAGCAACGTTGACGTCATCGCGGCTGCGCATGCGCAGGGTCAGTGATGAACTGCGCAGGCGCAACGCACCTAGCAGTTTTTATACTTGATCCGTTTCGAAAAGCAGAATATTTTCTTTTACATATTTATGTGACGCAGGCCAAGAGAAAATGGACAGATTAATAAATGTTTTACTAAACCAAGTATTTGTAATTCTGACAAATTGGCCGGTTGCAAAGTGTCCTGCTAAGAACAGAATCAGCCTCCTTATAAAGCATATCAGCAAGATGGAATCCTTAAATGTTAGAACTAAATAAAACACAAAAACAGACACTTTTAGAGGACAGCTCCAGGAGCAAACCATACATTGCAGCACCTCAAGCCACTTTGATTCAGTGCCCCCCTGTTCTTCCCTTCCCTTGATTTCCCCCCTCAAAAATCACGTTGAAAACAAATCAATCAGTCCAGATCCAGAGGTTTTTGATGGCAAGATATGGCTCTTACAGTATAGCAGGGCCCTGTACAAAAAGGCACAACCGTCTTAGTGCAGTGGTCTAAAACAGGGTTTGTTAACCCTGGTCCTCAGGGCCCTTTTTCCTACATGTTTTCAGTGCTCCCCTGTCTCCAGACACCTGACCTGAATGAAAATGAGAGAAACAGGCTTTTGGAGCACTTGAAGCTTGCTGAGGAGGTAATGCAATCATTTGAATCAGGTGTGCTTGAGTGGAGACACATCTTAAACATGAAGGACAATGGGCCCCTGAGGGCCAACCCTGATCTTCTTCTTTAGATTTTAACAACAGCTGGTATCCATTATTGGTGCACTACTGACATCTATTGGATCCTAATATCTATTCCTCAAACTCTCATAATGATCCCATGTTTTGTTTTTTTAAGAAAAATCTTCCTTTTCCCATCAATACTATTTAACTTATCAACCACATTGTCAAATTTCAATTC